TACTAGTACTGGTGGTACTTTGAGCGCGAAATACGTTTTTTTGAGTGGCACTTTGGAGAAAAAAAAAGAAGGTTTGTGAACCATTGCTCTAATGGCGGAAAACTGGGAGATAACAAGCACACAGATTTGGACTTTGATCACAGTTTGGCCGTTTCTGACAGATCTGTTCCAAAAATCAATAAATCTTCTGAGGGAATGAGCCTTCTGCGTAATCAGTGACACTGAAAAGCGTTATCATGAAAACGTTCTAAAACAGCCGTTAAGCGAGAGGCAAGCGAGAACAATGGCAACCCACCAAACGAAATATTAGTTGTGACATATTTTGCAAACACAACAGAGCAGACAAACGCCATCGAACAGCGAATGGTCAAAGTCCTCCTGCTGAATAATCCATCTGACAACAGAGCGCCCCGGTGGAGTGACCAAATTAGGCCATGACCATGGTGCCGAAGGTTACATGGTTGTTAGCGATGCGTGTATACAACAACGGGGGAAGCCATTGCTCACAAACACTCACACATCCTGTATTGTATCAATGTGACACAACAGATGTGTTTTGCTGTCATTAAAACTGCTAAGTGGATGTCGCTGCTCTTTCGATGAATTTATCAGGAAACGTCTTTACATTAAAACCGATTTTAATCGTCAGGATGATTTTATTTTGTTACTTAGTCTCTTTCTTTTTTTGTGGCTTTTTGTTGTTTAAATCACACATCCCTGATCCACAATAAAACTGTAAACAGAGAAGTCTTTTTGGGGAAGCTGACACGCATTTCCATTCAGTTCAGTTGGAAAGATTATTTGAGAGTTTTAAATTGCCGGGGCAAAAATGTAAATGAAAAAAAGAGGATCACAGTTTGTCTGGTGTCAGGACAAATAAAAAATATGGGGGAGGGATGAGCACTTAAAATTAGAAATACGATTTTTGTGGGGAAAAAATCTTATTCTTGTCGAGTTGACCAAAATTCTATAGTTAATGTTTGGTGTGTTATCCAAAAACTAGCTCAGGGCAGATTTATGCGATTCCTGCCTAGCGAGCGACTGGCCAAGGTGCATAGCGGGACGCGACGCTTCAAACTTCCCCTTCAGCTCATGATCTGATATCGGGCAGGCGACGGTCGTCCTCGATGTAACTTCTTCAGCCCGGAGCGTTTCAGTGTGCGTGATTTAAGGTCATGTTGAAAATAAGTTCAAAAGAAAAGAAAAAAAAATACAAAGCCTTTTGTGTGTCGCTTGACAAGAGTTGTCCTGCATGTTTGCTTTCGTGGTCATTCATTTAATGAACATCTGTTCAGGCTACGCCGTAAAACAAAGCTTTATTATTCAAATACTACTCAACTCAATGTTTGCAGCAGAACAGTAATTGTGTTGGTAAAGAGGCTTGATTTTAATCCCTGTTGATCTCCTTCAAACGAGCATACAGTGTTGTATCATTCCGTTTGTCTCTGCACGCTAGTGTATGAATGAAGTACCCTTCAACAGAACAATAGCAAGTGTGAACACAAATTATCCGACAAGCACTTGAATACTCCTGCTC